TGGATATTCTACCTTTCTCCACACACTCTTAAACTCTTGAAAACTTGTAAGCCAATCACTTCGTGCATCTATCCCCTCCCTCTGCCCCATTTTAGGTAGCCAATGTCTAAGTTACCCCTCCCTATCTACCCTGTATACAGAAGGGATAGGATTGATACTTGTTGTGAAGACTCCTTCCCTCTCACTTGCTATTTTGAGCTACTACATCCATAAGTCTAGGTCAAGTAATGATGATAGTTTTTGTATGAATCTCTCTCTAAACAACTGGATATCATGGAAGGAAGGATCACACTGTGATTATCCCTCTCAGAAAGGCAGAGAGATCCACCTTACCTATATTTTGAAAGAGTTAAATGAACAGTTAGCTACACAGGGTTTCTCTTGGTCAGCCTGTTGTGATTATTTTCACAATTACCACTAAGTGTCTGCATTGCATACAAACAAAGCAAGATAGATTCAGAGGACCAGGATTCGTCTCACTGGGTTTCCCAGCTGTGACATTTGCTTTAAACGACCTTGCAACAACTACCAAAATGTTGTCATTGCTGACAAATTTCTCTTTGTTTTGCTTTCAGCTCGGGAACCTGCTGCACAAGTTACAGTTCGTCATGACATATGTGGCTCCTTGGCAGATGGCTTGGGGATCTTCATTTCATGTGTTTGCTCAGCTCTTCGCGATCCCTCGTATCCTTTGTTTCTATTTCCATCTGCCAGCTGAGGTTCATGTTGTACCAATGCAAGCTTTTCATTGAACCCTGACAAGAAAAGATGTAAAAGTCTTTAAGATTACATTTTAATGGGGACATGGGTGACACTGTGGATTCCCTTTAGGTCAGTTAGCCTTAAAAGGTATTTCTTAATTTTAAAATCTTCCTGCTTCTGGTATATATTCAAGAGTTACTTTTACTTCTTTTTTTTGTCCTTTCTGTTTCTCATGCTGTAAGAGAAAAAAGTTACAATCAAAATGACCCAGTTGACTTGTGCAAAATAGTGCAAATCAATTTGCAGTTAATCAACATTAAAGATAGAGTTGATGCATTCAATATAACATTACAGATTATATAATAAATTATGATATAATGTGCTTAGCATATACTTGAATAGTATTTAAAACTGCACATTAGGTACAAACAGAATTGCTCAACTATTTTTGAGGTCTAAAAAGATAAATTATGGTTTTGTTTTGAAGTTGCATTTATGTGTGTGTGTATACATAGAATGACAAAGAAAGAATATAAGACTAATTAAAAAAAACAAAAAAACTTTTGACTCAGGCCTAAAATTTAGGAAGTATAAATTTTTCTCAGTGAATTTAGACTTTTTGCATGTTCAAAGGAGTCCTGGTGTGGTGCTACGGGTTAATACACTGGACTGCAAGATCGGTTTGAATCACAAGGTCAGCAGTTCAAGCTCACCACCAGCAACTTGGAAACCCAATACAGGGTCACTTTAAGTTGGAACCAACTCGATGGCACTTAATAGCAATAACAAATGTTCACAGACAACTCGCATCAAAATCTCTGGAGAATCTTGTTCAATCAGTAGATTTCTAAGCCCTAAGATTTCTAAGGACATACTTCCTAAGTAATAATTTCAGGGTATAGGGGCCAAGAACCCATATCTTCACCGGCCTTCTTGATGAGTCTTGTGTCCATTGTTGTGAGCACCCATAGTTTTAGGTTCAGGTATCCTACTGTGAGTGCCATTAGCTAATTTAGATGAAGACCCAGAGTTTCTTTACTTATTAAAATTTACGTAATTCATAAGGAATCTCTGAGCGCAGACATTTGTATACAGGGATGGAAGCTTATTTGGGATCATTGCGTTCTAGATTTTTTTTTAAATGCTCTCTGCCAGGATCCTTTGTGTTTTGTTTTGTTTTTAATTAAGCATACCAAGAGTTGGTCTCACAAGGCACAATGTTGCACATCCCCATTCTAAGAACTGCAGTGAGAGTTTTAAAAGTGTTTTTTAAAGGTTATTGGCAGGAAAAACTAAGGGGAAAAATATTGCAAAAGCATGAGCTTGTACACATCACTTATTCTTTAACCATGGTTATTTTACATGATTCCAGTAATTTAAATTTTCCTAAACAGATTCTTTTCAACAAACAGTGAAGTGAAAGATTGCGGTGACTTTTATTTCTGACAAAAGTCTAAGGTTTTCTACCTAGAATTTAAAGTATGTTTGTTAAATGAAAATTATTACTTTAATGCAAATTTATGGTTGAGGGAGTTGCACTAAGAATTTCAGCCATAAGGTTATGTTTTTCAATTTTATCATAACTTGGGCTAGTGTATATGTGTAGTATTAACTGTAGATGTTAAAGCCCTGTTAGGCAAATTCTGTAACACTAATTACTCCATCTAGTTTCACAACTGAGTTGAGATCAGTCTGGGAGCCGTAACTTTCAATTAACAGACCTAGAGACATGCTGAGGGCCCACACACAAGTACATAATTGGCTCTTAATACTTCTTACAAGAATAAAAGTACCATAAGCATTTATCTCAGATTGTGTAAACTGTGAGTAGGATCTAAGGACTTTCATGACTCTAGACTCATTCCCTTACGAAACTGAAGATATTTGAGATGTAGATCTTATTAGGTACTTAATTATTCTATTTTTAAAATATCAACCCCTATGCTTTGTCCTTAAAATTGCCCCTGTTACTTTTTGTTGTTAGGTGCTGTGGAGTTGGTACCGACTCATAGCGACCCTGTGCACAACAGAATGAAACACTGCCTGGTCCTGGGTCAACCTCACAATTGTTGCCACCATTGAGCCCATTGATGCTGCCACTCTACCAATCCATCTCACTGGGGGTCTTCCTCTTTTTCTCTGACCCTCCACCTTACCAAATATGATATCCTTCTCCAGGGGCTGGTCCCTCCTGACAATATGTCCAAAGTATGAGAGACGAAGTTTGGCCATCCTGACCTCCAAGAAGCACTCTGGCCGCACTTTTTCCAACACAGATCTGTTTGTTCTTTTGGCAGCCCATGGTACTTTCAGTATTCTCCTCCAACACCATAACTCAAATGAATCAATTCTTCTACAATCTTCCTTATTCACCGTCCAACTTTTCGCATGCATATGAGGTTATTGAAAATACCATGGCTTGGGGCAGGCGTACCTTAGTCCTCAAGCTTACATCTTTGCTCTCGGACATTTTAAAAAGGTCTTGTGCAGCAGATTTGCCTAATGGCAATACATCATTTGATTTCTTGACTGCTGCTTCCATGAGTGTTGATGGTTAATCCAAGAAAAATGGAGTCTTTGACAACTTAAATCTTCTCCCCATTGACAAGAATGTTGTTACTACTAAGATACTATTAAGATACAAATGACTATGATCTAGCTTCACAGAGCCTGACTAGTGTAGTTGTGCTACAGTTGCTGTTAGTTGCTGATGCGTCTGCTCCAACTCATAGTGCCCCTGTACACAACTGCCCTGTGCCATCTTGTTGCCGCCGCTGTGTCAGTCCAATTTGTTGAGGGTATTCCTCTTTTCCTCTGACCCTCTATTTAACAAACAGTCCTGGTGTGGCACTGTAGGATGAGCACTGGACTGATAGCTGCAAGGTCAGCAGTTCAAACCCAGAAGCTGCTCCTTGGAAACCCTATACAGGATTACTATGAGTTGGTACTGACTTGACAGCACTTAATAATAACAACACGTTTGCCAAGCATGATGTCCTTTCCCATGAATTTGTTCCTCCTGATAATATGTCCAAAGTATGTGAGGTGAAGCTTCACCATCTTCATTTCTAAGGCACATTCTGGTGGTACTTTTTCCAAGACACATTTGTTTGTTCTTCTGGTAGTCTATGATACCTTCAATATTCTTCACCAACACTATAATTCAAATGCATCAACTCTTCTTTGGTCTCCTTATTATTTGTCCAGCTTTCACATGCCTATGAGATGATTGAATATAATATGACTTGGGTATTTCTTCTCCTTGCTACTGATGTGGTACTGGACTGCAAGGTCAGTTTCAACCACAAGGTCAGTGGTTCAAACTCACCAGCAGCTCCTTGGAAACACTATACAGGGTCGCTATGAGTTAGAACCGACTCGATGACATGAAGGCTTTTACTCCATTGTTCCTTTATCTATACACACCTCCCTTCCTTGCTTGGTAGGTATTTGCTACTTGGTGCCCAACATCACATCGCTCAGGATATAATGAGATAAATAGATGAGTAAACTGGATTTGTAAGATCAACAAGACAAAGCTACCAAGTTCCTAAATGTCAGCACTAGCTCTTGACTAATTTTGAAATGTTAATTATTTTATCAGTCTATTAAGGAAGTGTGAACTCCATCCTGGCCTTGCTCTACTTTGGAATTGAATTAGCTTTCTGGTCAGCAGGGTAATGCTTAGTAAATTGCTTTTTCCAGTGCAAGCATGTTTTCTCCCTTGGTAGCTTCTGCTAGTTTCTGAGCTTAAAATCTCCAGAGAAAGATGGGAATCCTGACCCTTTTAATAGGAATACCAACCATGCGAGACAGTGTTCTTCTGTTAGGTATAAAGATTCAGCCAGATTATCTCTGTTAACTGTGAACATGAGGCAAACTGCTTTATGGTTGTTGTTGTTGTTGTTGTTAAGTGCCAGGAGCTGACCCATAGTGACCCTGTACAGGGTTTCCGAGGGTGTAAATCCTTACGGGAGTAGAAAGCCTCATCTTTCTCCCGCGGAGTGACTGGTAGTTTCGAACCACTGACCTTAAGGTTCGCAGCCCGATTCGTAACCACTACGCTACCAGAGCTCCTTTTATGGTTGGTAGATGTTGGTATTTTTTCATTTAAAATGGACTCATGAATCTGAAGGTTTGAATAGTGTCACAATCAACCTCTTAGGATAACCTCTTACTAAGAGAAATAAAAGATCTTAATGGGCAACCTTCTCAACAGTGATAGCCATAATTTTTCATGTTTGCCAATAATGTGCTCTATTACTTTATTGATCTTCCCTAAATAAAATAACCTTTGAGGTCTATCTATCAGTTTTTCCCTGACCTATAAAATTTTGTTTCTTTGTCTACCACATTGAATGTTATTTATATTCTGGTAGTATTTTCCTTATTTCCTTCTTAGTCTTACTCTCAGGATAATTTTTTACCAATAATGTACTCTATTACTTTATTAATCTTCCCTAAATAAAATAACTTTTGAGGTTTATCAATCACTTCTTCCCTGACCTACAGAATTTTGTCTCTTTTCTACCACATTGAATGTTATTTAGAGACTAGTAACATTTTCCTCCTTTACTTCTTAGTCTTACTTTCAGGATAATTTTTTCTGGCACTTAATCAATATACAGCATAATCTTGGGAGAATTTTTAGACTTGAAAAGGAAAGCAGTATCAGTCCCTCTAACATCCCCCAGCTTGGACTCCAGTTTGTTTTGACCTGGTTCAAAACACATCCTTGGTCACCTGATACTTTGAACTTACCTCCTACTCTCACCTTCCCTCCGAGAATACCACTGCTGACCCTACTCTACCTTGTAAACTTTTTTCAATACAGTGTCTCAATATCATCCAATAGAGTTCCCATTCTTGCAGTGACAAAGACCAGGGCTGATTTGGTGTTTTGTGGCCTGAGTATTAAGGTATTTACAGATGAGAAGGAAATGGATATGTGACCAGAGACATAATAAAAAACCCAGAATGAA